CACATTCACCCTTCTCGGGGCTCATCAGGTAGGCACAGTCCCTGAGTTCCCGTGAACCTTATGTTCTACTTGACACCAAATTGCACGAAATTAGCGAAATACACTCAGTTGCAACCTTATGAGTAGTGCAATACAAAAATATATATGTATCGAGATATCTCGAATATCTTAGCAGCTGAAACATGAGGCGGCCTGGTGCGGCACATCCAGTTGTTTGGAAGCATCAAAACCCAGAGATTCAGCTAGGTTCTAGGTGAGTCTCTCGCAAAACGAAATTAGTTTTCAAATGGGTGTACTTCGTTAATCGAGGTTTGTTTCAGTTTTAGTCAAGCTAGCGATCTTTTTTTCAGCACCATCTCGAATGGCACAGCCGTCAGATTTCCGGACACTTCACACAGAAGTCAGACGCTCAACCAACGATCAGGTTGATCATCAGTTTTGTCGACTTCAATCTACCGCGGGAGCGCTGAGTTCGAGCACTTGGTCGAGAATTTTTTGAACTAGACTGAGGGAGCAAATCTAATTCTTGATCGATATCTCTACTTGGCTTCCCTACAGTAAAACAATCGTTTCAGGTGATGATTCTGGGATGTCAGAGGAGAAAGGTCAGCTAGAAAAACCAGAATTCAGGCACACCTTTAAAATCAATAGAAATGCGGTCAGGGTTTGACCGTGGATTTTTCGGGTTATTTGTCTGCCAGAGCTTGCACTTTTTTGAGGCGCTAACATCAAGTTAGTCTCCGTCGTTCCGCTTCTCCACGAGCCCCCTAGTTCCGAAGGTGGACCACCGGACTGGTTCCTTTAGTAAGTTTAAAGCTGGCCGGTTATGCGCTCTACCTAGCGGTAACGCGCATTCTGCCGACTAGGCTTCCCAGATGGAATGGTCGCCCGCAAACGTCTGAAGATCGCACCGCATTTCTTGTTCTGACAGTGTTTGACAACGTACAACCTCTAATCACATTTACCCTAGGTGACTGCCTGCTTCGCCCTGTACTACTTCTCCTCACTCCCAGTGTAGATCAGGATGAAGACATCCTTTAGAATACAAACACCTGTGGTCAACAAAAACAAACCAGTCGCTCATCACTTTGGGAAGGGTGTATTTCTTACTGCTAAAAATAGTACTTTTACAACCGTGGTGCCATATTTTATTCGGAAAAATGATCTATTCGGCTATCAAATCACGCGGCTGACGCCATTCGCTTTCACGATATTACGTTACATAATTCGACCGTCTTTGATTACAAGTGGTTTGTTTGATTTGAGGCATCATTCGCTGCTAGATTGCAAATTTGCAAAGCGCGTTACACACCAACGAACATGGGCTTGGGATTGGTTTCGTGAGAAAAAAGTGTTTCGCTTTGATTCGGATGACGGGTTTGACAACACAAGTAGTGTGGCGCATCGATGAAATGCGTTGCACGTGTTTCATCAGGAATCCAGGTGATATCATCAACCCGTGCTAGACAGGACTTCGTTGTGCAGGTCCGCTGCGAATCCACGTACCGGTGACGTCAACTCCATTGGTAACGAAATCTGTCACTTTGGAAGAAGGAATTCTTGTGTCCCGTGGTTCTTGAGAGAGAAGACTTCCTTCCGACAAATGCGCTCATTTGCATACGAATTTGCTTTTGACAGGAAACTCAAATGAATCCAGCTGATTCACTCGTTTTTGATGTTCAAGTAGAAGAAACTCAGCGAAGCCCCCTACCTGGTGAGCCCCAAGAAGGGCGGAACCGGTCGTGGTCTGTCGGAGTGTTTTCAGCAACCTTATGAGTAGTGCGTTACAAATATATACATGTATCAAGATATGTCGAATACCATACCAACAGGAACATGAGGCAGCCTGGTGCAGCACATTCAGTTGCCTGAGAACATCACCAACGAGAGATTCAGCTGGATTTCAGGTGAGTCTCTCGCAAAACCAAATTTGTTTGCCAATTTCGTGCAATTTGGTTTCAAGTAGAACCTAAAATTGACAGAAACGCTCACCTGGTGAGCCCCAAGAAGGACAAAACCGATCGTGGGCTGTTGAAGTCTTCTTACGCCTAGAAAAATCTTCGTTTCCGATTATGCATACGGCTGATGTACAATATAACTTCGTTCCAAAGCGTTTGCACTTTGGAAGAAGCGATTCAACAGAAACTGTCGTTAATTATTCATTCATATCACAAAGATGTTCTTTTTGAAACCACTGATCTCCTCAGGCGACCTGAGGGACGTATCACGCGATTACACTCAGTTTCGTACGTTCATAGCTGATTTGTTCGACTTATGAAAGAAATCAAGAAACTTTTGGGTGCTGTCGGGGCTAATCGCCTTCCAGGATGGGGACTGCGTGATCCTCACTGCGCCTGGTTGGAGACGCTGAAAGATAGGACTGTCAACCGATGTCAGTGGCTAGCTAGTTGTCAGTTTCTATCCAGATTGCCTGAATGAATGCTTGGAGGTGTAGGCAACTTGGAATGATTGTCGTAAACCAGCACTAAATCCGTTTTCTGTCCGCCTTTATTCTTTTCTTCACAATAAGGCTTTCAAATAAGTCATGGTTGTACGGCAGTGAAGCATCGGCGTTGAACACTGATGTCATGCTGTCGATGATGATGATGATGATGATGATGATGATGATGATGATGATAATGATGATGATGATGGAATATTCCATCAAGCTTATCAGAGTTCACTGTATGACATATAGAAGAATCTGAGGAGTTACGGTTATTCCACTGCGCAGTAAGCTCGAATGTTGGTGACGCTAAGCAAACGAAATCTCTATCGGTGTCACATGGGTTTTGCTCGAGTCTGACTATTATCCCAGAGAAGATCGTGTGCTAGGTCTGAAATTCTTTCTTTCGATATCAGCTGATATCCCAACTTCAGGATTCCAGACTCTGACATAAAATGTTTTGGGGAATTTGCACAAAAACCGTATTTCTGTCACCCCCAAAACTCATTTTATCAAAGCAGCCATGTTTCAGGTCGTAGCACTGGCTAAATGTTTCTGGCAAGATAGTTTGACATGGCAACCAGCACTTTGGGTATTGTGCGGCCTCGCAGTGCTAACAAATGGTATGTTTATCCAAAACCTGGATTCGTCGGTTCAACTGCGTCAAATTGTGTCGGTCTGCAGCACACTCGCAATTCGATTCGTTTTGTGTGAAACCTTGATACGGACACAAAAGTCGGTTATTTGACTGTTGTACGGTAGGCCAAGTTTCGGTATAGAAACAGCCATCATACTACTGGGTAGTTTGAAACCAGCTTCGTTGAAACTTCAACTCAATCTTCGCCAAGTTTTAGACTGGATTGTAGGTTCCATGTGAACGTCCTAATCGATTCATGAAACCGGTGGTGATGTCCACTCGGGATGAGTACCTATCAGATCATGGTTGCACGAATTTCAACTGGTTGTTTTGACAAGAAATTCACGAGTACTATGGGTTAAAGTTTAGGGGGTTTTGCGGGATAGGTATTTTGTTCCTAGTCACACCACTCTCATCTGAACGGTCGTCATCCCGTTCTGGCGTAATTATTCCGGTGAGTCTACACCAAAGGGCAGCACCAATCACATCGCTCATGTGTGAACACGTTTGCCTGTTCAGACGTGATAATTCAGATGCGTCCAACGTGCGTTGGTGGAATGGTGGTTACACGCTCGCCTCGCATGTCAGATGTCCGGGGTTCGCTTCCCTTTGGTGTGGACCCACCGTAATAATTACGCCAGAACAGGAACACAACCGTTCAAACGAGAGTGGCGTGGCTATGAACAAAAAGAAACTAGAATCCTTTGTTCAGGTTAAAAATCCGAAGTGACTGATCTCGTCAGATTATCTCAATTCACTTTTATACCGTGCACGCTACACACCGGTAGTGAGAGATAGCTTCGTTCGAGTCAAACCCAGTCTGGCGACGGTGATGGTCCTGTTTGCTGGACCAAATGTGATATTTCCCCAATTCTCCAGGGTGTGGGGCCGTGAACTAACCGTGAGAACTGATCAAACATTGGGTCACCGTAGATGCACACATTTTTTCTAATGAAGATGAAATCCCTGTAGCACGATTAGCCACTGGCTGGTGTTGCCTTGGGAGTCAGTCCTTCAAGCTAAGAATCTAATGGTGGCAGTTCTGCTGGTACAGATTAAGTCTTTCGAAGGTCACAACCATAACAGTGGTGATAGTGCATGTTAGCCGCACGTTGATGACCAATTTGACTAGGAACACTGGTCAGGTCTTAAGGTTGGGATAGCTTTACAGAGTAGTGGGCTCTGGGAGATGTGTGAATTTTAGATTTTCAGGCAAAAGTCACGCATGTGAAACGGTGAGCATGACACAGAAGGTGGTCAAGTCTGGAGTGTACGCTGACTTCGAAATTTCAAAAATCTCAATTTTGCAGTGTGATCACAATAATTTGCAGTCAATCACTATCACAAGCGACGGTATGAAAGCTTTGTGGTTGTGTCTTTGATGGGGTTAGGAATGCGACTTTCATTGCACACCTCAACTGTGTGTGTGTGTGTGAAGCCTGGGTGCACCAGTGAACAAATATTCCGTTTTCCGTGATTGTTAAATGAACGTTTGCACCCACCTGAGTCTATCTGTTGACGATATATGTCCAGATATTGAAATTTATTCAAATTTGATAGGCTAGCAATGCACCACAACGTTGAGCCTTCATTGACAAACGCGTCGGAAAGATTCTACGAGCTTTTAAGGCAGTTATTCACAAATACTTTTTTTTCTCAGTTACAAGTTTACGATGATGCTTTCAGTTGAAGCACGAACTGAGCCACCTTCAAAATATGTTGGTTTCATTGGGGTTTGCATGCGAGGTAAGAAAAACAAAAATTCAGTTTCCGTGAGCCACGCTGTCACTCGTTTTGCATTCTCGGCATGCGAAAAAAGCAATCACACCAAGCACAAACCCAAGAAAACTTACCTGATGAATGGTGGTAATTTGTAGATTACGTAACTAATCATGGATATATGTATAGAAACTTACGTGAAGTGATTCGACGCTGGCTCTCCTGGGTGGCTCGAGGTCTTCATCAGTGTACTGCTCGGCTGAATCACTTACTGATTCCATTCGAGGCGATACATCACCGGACTCTAACGGTTCAACCAGACTGACAGCCATTCGTGAGCGACGCTTGATCGCAGCAGCCGTTCCTGAGACACCTTTGGTCGATTCACGGCTGGAACGACGCTTGGATTGGAAACGTCTGGATTGGGTGCGTAAAACTGGATCCTCGTTGGCAGTTAGCAGTCTGAACGGCTTAGGGGTCTCATGTTCGTCGAGTGAGCCGGCAGATTGAGCTCGACCGTAACGTTGCCGCCGGAGCAAGAAGCACACGGTTGGTTTCGCTGCAGAGAAATTAGTTCAGGGACTTTGAAAATTCAAATCACAAAAAAACAGAACTATTGATCAGCGAGTAGCAACGGTAGGGTTGGCCCTTCAGCCTCCCGTAAGAAAAAAACCTAAAACAAGCCGAGTGATTGGGCAATCCATCGGCGATTGATTATTTTATTGATTTATTTATCTAACCATTTCCAACCCTTTTTGTGTAGCAACCAGCTTGTTTCAAACTAGATGAGTCGTCTCTGTGTGGCTTCCTTGGTGGGGCCCAGCACTATACACCCCGTTGGTGAATGAGGCAAACTGATCTGACCATTGGCCATTGGGCGGTGGACCTAAATCTCTCGACCGACTGCAAGCTGCAGAAAAGAACAATAAATTTATGCTACTTAATTATGGCCAGTAGGCAAATATGAAAACTAGTTCACCACACGACCATCGACAGGGCCGGTTATTCACGTTGTCCCCATCAATCTACCTGAATTTCACGCTTGATTTCTTAGGTTGAAGACTGCATGCTCTACAAAGAACGGAAGCTGGGGGGACCACGGTGGAAGGCGGAGTGCAATGTGGCCACGAAATAACACAAGCCAGTTGCTACTTTTACCACCCAACCATGAAAAGTAGCATCTACACTCTTTTCGTTTTTCCGACCACTGAACTGCTTTTTGGGTACACGAGCACTTAAAAAAAACGAACTGCTAGGTGGACCCATGAGTGATTGTACAAAGGATCATGCGCAACACTGTTTGGCCTCAAAATACAGCAGACAAATCTTAGGCCCCTACAGCTCCCACGGAAGGGCGACTATCCTTACATCTTGTCCCAGGTCACATCAGGTTGAATGCTGGAAATGTAGCACGCACATGGATCCCATGGCTGGAAATTTCACAGGGTCACACGATCAAGTTGGTCTGATGGCCTAGAAACCTCCCGTAAAAAGAGTTTATAGCATGCCTCGAGCTATGTTTGATGGGTTACAGGATGTTGATAGGCAGCCTGCCAGGACTTCAGAGTGCGTACTCAGTAATTCAGTGAGCTTTACTTGAGGACTGCAATCCACAGAGCCTGTTCTATTAGGTTGGTAGTGGGCAGATATCTGACAAAGAGTGTCTGCTGGCACTCAACGTTTGAGGTTTAGAACAAGTTTGGCCACTTGTTCTTTAAAGGTTGGGATAACTAAGTAGTCTCAAGTCGACCATCACCGCCTTTCTGTGAGTTTTCTGTGCAAAACGCTTGAGTTGAAGACCTCAATCGTCCACCTGTCAAGCTTTGCCCCCCCCCACTTTGGTCGTGTCTCCGCCCACATATAACCATGGACTTTAGAGACATCCATGATATATCGGATCTCACCTGGGTTACCAAATTCACTGCGTGCAGAAACACGCGTCTGATGATACAATAATCGTTCTTCATTGCCAGCCACTGTCATGTATACCGCAGCTGTAGGCATCTGTAGAGTTAACGCACTGCACTCCAAAACTCACATCTAGCGCTCAGCGCCCGCTATCCAGGTCTGGTTCTCCTGTTTTTACTAAGGTACTTATAAAGGTCAGCACTCGTAGGCAAATCACCCAACAAGCTCTTTTCGAATGCCCTCCAAAACTGAGATATACGATTCAAGTAGAGTTGGTGAACTTACGGCACCGTTCCCATTTAGCTACTATAGATTATGAGCTTTGAATGGTTCTTAAGCTGCTGCGGTGAGTCACGTCGGTGTTTGTATGGCCTTAAGTTCTCGAGCCCAGGTTTCATCGTTCGACTGGATATCGGTAAACAGCCGGCATTGTGTTGTCCTACTTTCTGGTGCGATAAACACTCTCCGAAAGCTCTTTGTCATGTTGATTTGTGAACCAACCAATCGTAGCTTCACTCTGGTCCACTACGAAGAGTCTTGCTATAGTCTGAACGCATAACAGTAATAACGGCGAGTGTCTTTTGCAACTCTGTGCTGACCAGAAGTTGTTTCTCAGCGGCACTCGGTTTAGACGCAGTGGGCACCGTTGAGTTACCTGGCGTCCCTTACTATTGAGCAGCCGTGGGGTCAACTAGAAAAGATTTGTGGGGGAAACTTGTCGAAAACCCTACAAAGCCTACTCTGATGTACATTACAAGCCAAGTTATCAGAGAACACTGGGCTCAACAGGGGTCAGTTAAACACGCCCATTCGTGATGCTGAGAAATCTGCATGTAATGTTGCCTTGGCGCTTAGCAGACCACTGTATCTCAGAATGGTCACCCTTAATTCTTGATGCGGGGCGCTCCATCTCCCAAACTCAGAGTACACTCCGGTTGATCAGATGACAGAGAAGGGTGGTGAATCAGAATGTTCAAGAAATGGAAGATACTGACGTGGCGGAGAGTACATGGATGCAATCGCGAGAAAGGACCTGAAATTTCTTCCATGAGTTAAGCAAGGATGATATTGGGAACCTGATACATGATAAAGACCAGGGTCTAGATAGCTGTTCTGAAGGTCCATGAAGCCGCTCAACAAGATGAGCTTCTCCGACGTTGTTGTGCTCCGCTTTGGCCAAAATTTTTTGTGCACTTGTGCGTTTGTCCGTGCAGAGTGCTTTGAAAATAATACCAGAAGTTTTTTGGCATGTATTTCAACTTACAAAGTCTTACTTTGTAATGATTCGGTTGAGTTTTTTTAATCGGTTCACGTAACTTGGCAGGTGCATAAACCGTGATTGTGCCATGACTGATGAAGTTAATGGGCGAGAGCAACGTTCGTCAACTCGCGTGATTCATGGCGTCAGAAACGAATTTCGCTCAGAGTGAAGGACGTTTTATACAAGGCAACTGCAACAGTGATCTTATTCTAGAGTTGTGAGATTTGTCCCGTTTGATCCGGGGACCTTGGGCGCGTTCTTAAACACCTATGTCTCCGTTATCTGACTGTGACGAGTGGTCAACAAGACAGTGCTTGAAAGGGGCCTCTGGTAACGATTCTAAATCGTTAAAATAGCAGATTTCGGTTGCTAGTCTTAACGACCGACTATCTAACAAGAGGCTATTTTCTATTCCAAGCTACTTTTGGGTAAAAGGCTCCTGGGGGGTCGTCAACCGTCGTTCTGTGGACTGACAGCATATGGGACTGTTTACATACACCTAGATTTTACGCACCAATAAAAATTGAGCGGATATGCACGTGACACAACTGTACCACATTTTTTACTAGCTGTAATGGAGGGGGGACACGCTAAACACCGGCAAGATCTCGGCCCAAACTAAGACACCTCGTGAAAGGCCCCGGCCTAGTATTCTGCACAGTCCTATGAAAATTCTGAATCCAAATAGTTGGGGGCAATCACACTCCACTCGTTCACAATGATACTTACCTCGGATTTGTTTTACCACATCGTCATGAGGCATATCCTCGACCGACAAACCATTGACCTTGGGTGGAACAAGGAACTGATGATTAGTTTGGCAGTTGATGGAGACGGATGTTTGGTATAAAATGTAGTCTCACTTCAACGGATCACCTTAGATGAGAGCTATTTTTCGTAAGTATCACAAAAACTGAAGGAGAAAGTCTATTGCACTGTGGTAACTGGTGACCTTTCAGGGAGTAAGACCTAATGGAACCTATAACAACATGTTCCATGTGTCGCCGACCCTGAGATAGCTAATTGGTTGGCTCGCGAAATTAATAGCCGGAAGATATGCGGGAGTAAGACCTAATAGAACCTACATCAACATGTTCCATGTGTCTCTGACCTTGAAATAGCTCATTGGTTAGCGCGCGAAATTAATGACTGGAAGGTCTGGCACCTCGAATGCTCCTATCAAGGCTTGGGTCACCTAAAAGTCTTCTAGCCCTTACGCTTTCCTCGGCTTGCTCTTGTTTAAGAGAGAAGCCGGGAGCGAGCTGGCTCAGTGGTTAGAGCACAAATTTGTTGACCGGAAGGCCCGTGGTTCGAACCCGGCCTCTTCATCTCGACTTCTGTCTAGGCTTGGCCAACCTGAAAGTAGCCCAGCCTGCGTGCTTCTATCAGGTGGCATGGCACCGAAAGGATGTTACAGCTGAACGATTATTGATACTCCTGCTTCTGCTGTAAGGATGGAAAACCTTCACAGCGAATCCATATATTGGAAAACACCAACTAAACGGTTACAAACTATTGGGCAGGAAAGTAAACATCTCATATGCACCTTCCATTAGACGCGCGGCGGAGTTGCAGAAAAAACACACTACTCACAAGTCCCATCAGTAGCGTCCTCAATCGCACTACTCCTCTTACTGTCATCCTTTGTCCACCTCGAACTGAAAGCCGTTCCACAAGTACACAGCCAACGAAGTGACTTTCATAATATACAAGGTACGACCAATCGATAAAACAGAATCGCACACAAAATCACGTGACTTTGCCACAAGAGAGAAACGTCATTCACAGCCGGGTATCCCATCTCGCGGAGTGGAATACGGTGTTACGAGAAAGTGCAAACAAAGGCGGCATCCGAACAGGTCTGATACATAATCAATCAATCAGTCTATGTCATGACAGAAGGATCACTGTTCAAAGGAGAGTGATGTGAACTTGGTCTCTACAGGTCCCGCGAAGACTGACAACTTATCAATCGATTTCCAACAGGCTTCAACCATCAGCGAATGTAAGGCCGTTTGAGCCATCAGACAAACCAATCAAATCACTCTAGCGTTAACACCAGCTCAAACAAACCGCGATGTATAGACGCGGTAGCTATGTCGACTCAACAAGTGACCACATCCAGAGGAGTAGTGATGCGCCATCTTGTGACGAACTACCGGCTGAAGAGTAAGATCTCGGCGGATTGAGGTTCATCTTTTGACGGTGAAGAATTCGGCAGTTGCTGAAATCCTGCCAATTCTATTGAACCTACTGCGAAGCGGAATAATCATATGGTTAGACAGTGCCGTTCGAGTACGCCAACGTGTCTGAATCACGGCCGATTTTATCATCTGCAGGAGTAAGGTCAAAAAAGTACAAACCGTGTGATAGTCACTAGGCGTCGAGAAATCCTATTGTCCATCGAGTGTCAGTCGAAAGACGAGCCTGAATAAACGCCAAATCTGACCGAGTGAACAGATGATATCGATCAGTGGCCTTTCTGACGGTTCTGCTCCCCTCACCTCCATCCTTCATTGCGGTCTTCACGTTGTTGTACAAAGGCTACAGGTGTACCATCTGAAAAGTTCACGTGGCATTGGGAATGGTTGTTTGTACTCAGACGTCCATGTGAAGCTGCAAAGCTCCGTTCGTGCCGATCGGTCACTCCTCATCATCTGTGAAATTTAGGAGCACACTACAGGAAGACAGTTCGGATGTCCGTAGTCCGCTTGCATGCGAAGCATCTTTGACAACCAGATTGACGTTGTGTTTTCTTCAGGGGAAGCAGCGCATCTAAGAAACAGCGATGGGCCCTCGCAACTGGCTGTGACATGGTGGTCCAAATGATAACCCTGTAAAAAAGTGCCCACGGCGCCTTAGCCACTCAAGAGCGAATATCATCGGGAATCGTGACGGCTCGTTTCCAAGGATTTTCGATGGACCTGATCGCCGTAGCAGTTTACGCTCTCTCTACTTCATCGAACCGATTGCTACAACAACTCACAGAAAGCGGTCGGCCTAACTGCGATATTCCAATGGCTACTTGAAAACGATTCCAAGGGTTTTAAGGTGATGCTCTCCGTCGCATTTTTGGCAAATTCGGACTACAAAAATGGCACGCGGCCGATCAACTTTGAAGCTTCTACTCGATTCGTGATGTTTGGTACACGTTTTCAACATCTGAGGAGGCATCTCCTTACCTGGTACTCCAGTGGTGGCCTTGACAGCATTATTCGTTGATTCAACAGCTGAGAAGAAAGTTGGAACGGGTGCCATTCAGGTCGTACTTTGCCACTCGGCATACTAGACGGATCAAGATGACCGATTATGAAGACCCGGAACAGCGTCATCGACTCTCCAATGCGACCACTAGCCGGCTGATCGTCAGGTAAGCTCCGTCAAAGAGTCTAGCTCCGCTTACAGCCGGCTGATCGTCAGGTAAGCACAGTCAAGCTCCGTCAAAGAGTCTAGCTCCGCTTAAAGAAGTCAGCAGGACACGTGGCCACATGGAATCTTGGATTTTCATATTTTCAGCTCGGAAAGATCAAATGGATCAATTGGCGGAAAGAGCTTCTAGCATGTGGGAGGTTACGACTGTCGGTGACAACTCACAAACATCTCGGCCGATTCATCATGCCTCAGAGAGGTGAAAAGGCCACGGTTAATTGATGCGGGACTATAAGAAAGTGTTGAAGAAACCGCATGTCCCATATCACTACTCAGTTGCCCGTTCAGTGACCACAGGTACTACAAATTTTGCACCGTGCACCGTTGATTGCAACGTTCCTAGTTAAGATGAGCTCCTCGAGCTAACAGAAAGAACAAAGAACTTCTGAACGAACATACTATCCGGGAGAGAACCAAGGGAGTATGCTCATCGGAAGTCCTAGGATCTTTTGAGAACCTGTTTCACTCGGTATGTAACACTGAACTGTTCCAACAACAGAATACAGTAGCTGAGATATTCTCTTCTCAAACCAGACTCCGGACTGTTCAAGGTCTACCGGACGCCGCCTTCACGTTCAGAATGGCGCTACCGTATAGGTGGACGGTTTAAAACCTAGCTGTCAACAAGTGAAGCTGACGTAATACAAGTGACTTGTGGGCGGATGCAATGGAACAAAAAGTGAATGACGCTGTACTCAAACCCGGCTGTTGATTGTGTTTCATGGGCAGCAGCGATCGGGAATGTGAGAGAAAAACAAAAATCCTTCAGCTGCGACACGGAACCTAGCTACCAGGCCACCAGAAAAAAAAGCACAACGGCTGATATACTGCACAAGCCAAGATAGGGGCAGTCGAGAAGTTGGGGGGTAAGTAACTCAACCCCTTGACCATTGAGTCATCCCAAACTATTCCTATCCAAGATCTAGAGGAGATTCGCCGTAAGATAAATCGCCCACCTCTCACCATCTACAACATTTTAGCAAAGTGCCCAACCAACATGGGACTTTTCCATAAGATATCATACATACGCAACCCAGCACAAGGTCACGTGATTAGAACTGCGTGAGCGAATATGCAGTCGTGCGTTCTAGGTGTAAACCGGCCACACTGATAATCAGATACTCGCGAGAGAATGCTTTAGTAATCAATCTCTATTTCGGAGAGCTGTGGGTTACACTACCCTCCGATAATCGTATGAAACGCACTGCTCACTGAATGCCGACCAAGATCTGATTCATTTACAATGGTTTTGGGTGTCCACTATAACGTTAAGTCATTTCAAGCTTGGAATTTTCAAACCCTCTACGACTCTTCCTTTTTCCGACCATCTGCCACAGATGATTATCCCAAATTAGCCAACAACTTGTTTCCCTCTTTTTTACAAGCTACTCGCATCTTTTAAGTAGTCTGAATACTGTTTTTTCCTGCAGCTGGTACACGAAGGCTAGAAGCCTGGTCGCAAAGTGGGGATAATTTTGGCTGCTTTACTATTGCGGAGAGATTGTCTTTGATCTCCATTTTGGTTGGACAACTATGGAGCTTAAAGGGCAGCCCAAAGACTCTTTGAACTGATGCATAAGGAACTACACACTATCTCTACATTTCCATCAGTGTCGCGTTTTGAAACTCAATATAAGTAGTATGTAATCTAACAAATCACTGATCGTTAAAAAAATAGCTGCGACATACCATAACCCTTAGAGGAGGTTTGTCCAAACCGATAAGTTGCGGCTGGCGAAAATTCGGCAGGTTAAAAATTCCTAAGAAAGCATTCATCACTTCCGTCATTCAGCGGTCAGTTAAGGATCCAGTTAACAACCGACCAAGTAACTCAGAACACATTGTTAGAACAAACAGACGCACTATCCGGTTAAAGTGCAGATTAATCACACTACAGACCAGTCACTTTGTCTCAAAAATAGGTCTTTCAAACTGATGGCTGTTCCCCAACAAGGGCATGCCAGAGAACCAGCTCTTCTCGACCAACTGACTGCCACGTCAAATTTAAAAGTTCTCACTTTGGACTATCTTCCTTCTACTTCGTCATAATTTAAAAGAGGAGCGTGTAATTTTTCTGATATGTACAAAAAGAGCATTCAAGTTGGTGAAGTGCTTCAAAGTATGTTGAGTCTGGAAATAGTAAAAAAGCTGATGGACTCACCTTGATTATTTGATCACCAGCTTGAACGCCCGCCAAATCTGCGGATCCGCCTGTTGAGATATTGAAAAAGAGAGAAAAAACGTTTATTTGAGGTTTATTCTCCCAGAAGGACATCAAGCGACTTTTGTGGGAAACGTTCGTTTCATGAAATATCAAAGAGACTGGTTTGTTTTCATTTTTTGTGATTACTTTTAGGAACAAGTCTTGAATTTGGTCTCGACAAAATGCTAATTTGAACCTAGCTGAATCTCTCGTTTATGGTCGTCTGTGTCTAACTGCTGAGCCCCAAGAAGGATGAAACCGGTCACGAGCTATCCAAGAGTTTTTAGCCAAATTATGGTTAGTGTGTTTCGTCTGCGTACGGAGGCCAACCGTCCCTAATAACTGAACATCACTTCATTTGGACTGATGTATCACGTGCAGGTCACGGATCAAACGAAGGCATGCCCTGATTGGTCAGAATTCCAGCCAATCCGGATCGACCATCTTTGACTCGACGCTTCTCGCCCCTCACGGGGATTCTAGCACGACCTTGTGGAACACTGTGATTACCCTATAAATACAGTTGTAATAATGTGCTGTGAGGAGCTACCGTGCCCTTTGATATACTATAGTGGGCGGGCCAGGAAGCCAAGGGACCGATACAGAATTGCGCACCGTTCAGCAAGATACAACAGTTTGGTAGACAAACTGTTCGCTGAGCCTGGCAGTTTGGTTGCAAGCGAGGTGGGTAAACGCCGTTGGCGTATCGACGAGTGGGACAGCAGTACTGCATCTTACTTGGCCTCATGGTAGTGCCCCAATCCATCTGCTTACCTCGCCCATGTACTTTCGATCTCCACTTGTTTTGATCATCCGTAGCCTCTGTTCATCTTGCCGCAAAGGCCGTCCCGCCGTTACTGGTATATGAGCATGCCTGAATGTGGATCAGTGACAAACTTGTGCAGTTGTTGACGTCACGAACGTGGACACTTGCGGTTTGTTGCACAATTTTGCTCACCTTGGTGTACTTGGTACCATAAGCTTTCGGACCTAATTCTTCCTTTTGAAATTCTGGACTGTCAAACCCACGCGTGTCTAAAAGTCCCGTATCGGGAACGTCGGCGGGAAAAATCGCATTTCGACCACCAGCGCACAATCCGAGCCGCTAACATGTTGGCTCACATAAAAAACCTGAAGCTGTATAAAGCAAAGCCTCGTTCAGTACCAAAGTTTGCAGGAACGCTGCACGAGGTTTTCTTTGGCATACATTCAGTGGGGACTTCCTTTCTTTCTTAAAAAGTCCGCCAATTAGATTTTTCATTCACCACTATCGATGTTCGACTTTTCTCCGGTATCAAACTCGATTTAGTGGACTGCATACACGTGTTTTCGAAATGGCCGAGAATCAAGTATATAGTCGAAAGGAGCAAAAGGATTTCATCACATACGTTAGGTGAGATGTCTTCCACAAAGCACTCTCTCCAGCTCACATTTCAGGTAAAGGTAACGAACTATTCCGCATGATTCAGAGATCCACACCAATGCTTAATGCGTCTCCCACTGCGATCCAGCCGAGTGAATGACGCACATTCACTGAACGTGTAAAATAATTGGGAGCATGCTTTTGTTGGCTCAGAACTCTCAAAAGTCTCTGCGTACCTAGACCAGACGTCTCACAATGACCCAACCACAAACTGCATATCCAAACTTTCCCTTCGTGTTAGGCCGAATTCCTCACGGATTGTGGTTCACTGCTCTCAGTTAGGCGCTGCTACGGCCGAGAAGCCTAGCCCACAAAAGATTGGCCAAGCGTTCGGAACGCTTGCCGGTCCGGTATCAGGCCCAGGTATGATTGGTCGAAAGTCCGGACGCAACAGCCAATCACGAACCAGTATTGGCCAATGACGCATCCAGAGGCGCCAGAATTTCCAGAATAGCAAGTAGGCCACGAACCGCTGCCCCCACGTTCTTTGATTTGTCTATGGTTCACAACTATTCCTTCCTTGCTGGCAATCATCAACAGTAGGGATCTAGCGAAACTCCGAGCAGTTTTGAACTCGCGACCTAAATCATCGGAAGTACGCATCTAACAAAACTCCGAGCAGTTTTGAACTCGCGACCTACAGGTTGGTGGTCTGGGCACCAACCATTCCACCGCGAGTGACTGGTCAACATCGTGAGAAGCGCTATGTTGATCATCCTCTCGTGTTGGAATGTTTCAATCCAGCCAAGAGGCCACCGGTTCGAACCACCAAAAGTGCACATCACTGGTCACAAACACAGCTGAGATTGAGATCCGACGGTTCCGTGTCTTCAGACTTCGGAGACAGGTCGGTCCCTGTTTGCGAGTAGAGCGAACGGTTCGAACCAAAGTGCACATCACTGGTCACAAACACAGCTGAGCTTCAGATCCAGCGGTTCCGTGTCTTCAGACTTCGGAGACAGGTCGGTCCCTGTTTGCGAGTAGAGCGAACAAAAGTTGTCGAAATTCTCTGGTCCCTCCAGAGGGGGGAGTATGATTTTCACCTTCGAGTTGCGAGGTAGAGAGGTTAGCTGCAGCAATCTGTTGAACCTGGGGAGAGATGGCCCAATTGGTTAGAGCGCACATTTGCTCACTGTAAGATCCGTGCGTCAAACCTCTCTGCCTTCCCCTGTCTAGGCTTGGGCAACCTGGCAGTATCCCAGCCGACGTACTTCCTTCGGCTGGCTACAACTGAACGATAAAAACCCTTATCTTCCTCTCCAACAAACAAACGGTTACACTCAGGTAAAAACATCACAACTGCTTATCAAACAAGTAATTTTTATACAGAACAACATGTTCACCCAGACGAAGTACGCGTCCGAAAGTGCACCGTTGGCTGGGGGGTCTCGTGCAGGGATGACAGGTTAGCGACGACCAGAGCTACGGTTTTTTCATCACTCACTACGACAGATGCACTGTTGTGCGCTAGGATCGAAATGCTATGTTTCCCTCTCGTTTATAAACTGTTTATTTAGGATAATCTATGCTGCTGGCGACGGCTTTAGCTTGTGCTAATCGATAAATCCATAAGGAACGACGTCTTGTGACAAACAAGCCTTTCTAACGGTTGTTCTCTTGGCAAGTCCAACTACACAATTAATAAAGCGCATAATGGACGTGACCACAATCGTCTTCAAGAGAGAGAAACTTTGAACAAAAACTTCCGACCGTTATCAGGCCTCACAAACTCCAAGTAGTTCGCTTATTTATCTGGTATCAAAGAAAGGCCGAAGTTAGATGAGTCGGGAAAGTTCCTGAATTAGATTTCTCTATTCCGAGTCTCACGCCTGCTGAGTAGTTGTTGGAAATAAAGTCGTGTGGTGGTTACTGGTTTCGAAACAGTCTGAACAGTCATTCACCTCTCCTGGAGCGACTAATCTGGTAAGTCCATATCAAAACGGAGAAGCCCTAGACTCGAATTTCGCTCTGATTAGTGCTCATCAGCATTGCCATGGTGTGAAGTCTGGACACATGTAAGGTACGTTACAACCACTCCACGAATCAGGCTGGACGCATCTGAATTTTCACGCTTGAACCGGTAAGAATCTTCACTCTTGAGTGATGTGACAGGTTTGTTCGACGCCTCGAAAAAAAAAGAAACCCGTTCTCTTCAAGTGGAATGTTTGCTGTAGGTAAGTGACTCCGTCCGCTGTGGATTTTTGTCAGTAAAGCATGCCCTTTGCCGTTGACAGTCCATCGATCAGGGTCACGTGACGACAGAGCACACGAGGCAACATCAACTGGTGACGCACGGATAGATGAGCATGCCGTGACACCCCTAGGCATCACGACATGAAATCCACTACTCACCCTAGAGTCTAGTTCTGAACCACACGCCTTTAAATTATTCTGAGTGTCAAAACAACTCAGTTGTTCTTACTACGTAGTTGAAGACAAAAAGAGGATTTATAAGAGGGGAAAGCCTTGAAGGAAGTTCTCTGGTTTACTGACACGAATAGCATTTGAATAGGAAGCTCGGGGGAGGCGTTAAGAACCAATTGCACTGGTTTTAAGCTGCTCCCGGCCAAAACGAGGTCAAAATGTGTGAGCTTTCAGAAAGTGAGTAGTGAAACACTTTGAATAATGTTCACTTTCAGTGTCTTCACCATATATTCTGATTATTCCAAAGTTACACTGATCCTTCGTTAGTTTAACAGAAGAAAGAATCCCGGAATGACCAAGAATCCTATTAGGAAGGTTAGGTTCTTGAAAGTAACCACCAAATCAACTGCGGTAGATGTTGAGCAGACAGACAACGCCCCCTGAGTAAGAAGCGCAGGACAGCCTTGTATCAAACCCAGACAGTGCGAGACAGCATCGGACCAAGGTCAGGCAGTGCCCTTCCAATAAAATAGCTTGAGGCCGTTGTACTTTCACACTCGCGATCTCGCACTCGCCTGTTCGCAGTAAAGCTGTTGTGTTCCTTATCGGCGAGCCTTTTTCCACCAGTGGACATTGGATCGGGGACAGCAGTCAAATATAACAGATGCGCACTGGTGATGAGTTTCAGTAACAGTGATCCTCGAGTCCAGTACCTCCTCACTTTGGTACAGACTCGCCAGAANGACTGGGAAGTCCTGACTGGCGGGTCAATCGATCGTCACAACCAGGACAGCTACTGGGTCGCCGTTCGATGAGTCGAGGACACCAATCACACATTTGCCTGTTCAGGCGTGATAATTCAAATGCGTCCAACGTGCGTTGGTGGAATGGTGGTTACACGCTCGCCTCGCATGTCAGACATTCGGGGTTCGAATCCCGGCACGGCCATTGGATGTGCACTGCTGATGAGCTCTTATAAGAGCGAAACTCGAGTCCAGTGCTTCCCCCGTTTGATGTGGACTCACCGGAATAATTACGCCAGAACAGGAACACGACCGTTCAAACGAGGGTGATGTGACTGTGAATAAAGCTAAACAGTATATTGGTCACAGTGTACAAGCGACAAATATCGACCATTATGGCATCCGCATACACCGTATCGAAGGCCTGGTCATTCCTATCCATGGGTAGCCTCTAAAAGCTGACCATGATCCCGATGTGATTCTCGTACGAAATTCATTCATGTACAAACACCTTCTGTTTTGCACCTCAGATTTTTCCCATCCATTGGGTTTGTGTGCCGATCACGTGAAATACGTAGCGAATGTCATTTCAGAACTATCCCGTGTGTGTGTGTGTAATTCGCTAATGTTTTGTCCACCCTTAGTTCTCAAGTGAAGATGCAGCTGGTAGCCAACAATTCGGTCAGCGCATGACGCAACGTTTCTGGCGATTGGGCAATAGGCGTAAGAATATCGCTTTTAATTGACTGACGGAATTTATTGAGAAAGACGTATGAATATCATTCAAATACCTTTCTACAACTAATTGTCATATCTGACTGCTGGTCGCGCTCCAGTGCGGGAAAGAGACTCGCCGACTGGGAACACGACAGCTTTATTGCAAACGAACGAGTGTGTGCAAGTAAAACGGCATCGCGCAGTATTTCGAAGGTCACTGTCTGTCCTTGATACCAGGCTGTCTGATCGATAATTCTGGGATAATCTTGGGGAATGTGACCGAACTAACACCAAATGGTAAATGGTTTCACACTTTTCGGAACTAGTCAAAACGATTGGCTCGATTATTTGTATTCTCAAGCTAAAGTCGATTGTATCGATTTTTTTAAATTGCCACGAGTTTTCACTAGTCACGTGTCGTGTTTTGATAGGATACGACCCCGCTGACTCGAAATACCCGGGAAACTACTTTTTTTACAGGACTACCGGTTACACACCCTTTTGGGTTTCCTTACAACTAGTTCATGCAAAGTGAATAATCTCTTCCGTATTTTGGGCATGTCAACAAATACTCGTCCCAGAATACTACAAGGATCTCTGAAAACGTGACCCCCGGCTAGTAGTAGTCTGAACACTCAACCGTTCTGCCACGATTGGCCAATCAAGACGACGGAAATTTTCACCTGACAAGTTGTGATTGGAGGAGCCAATCGTCACGTGTGGCCACGTGATGTGGTCGCCGTCAGTAAAGGATGAGTACTGAGTGAATGAGTTGTGAGTGTATCATCGAGTGAAGCATTCTGAATTGGAAGATCAAGGAATGAAAAACGATCTGAACTAAAGCAGACTGCTCACAAGGTTGCTGAAAATTCTTCGACAGTCCACGACCGTTTTCGCCCTACTTGGGGCTCACCAGGTAGGCACAGTCCCCGAGTTTCCGTCAACCTTATGTTCTACTTGAACCCAAATTGGACTGTTTTCAAGAAATACACTCAACTAAGTTGAAACTCCTCCAGCCTATCAATTCAAGATTTTGGTAACCACACTAGGCGACACTCAGCACTGATCTAGTTTGAAGAGGACTGATTTACTGACTGGTTCCCCGTCTGTCTTATAACCCGGCCAATTGGGTGACCTGCTCATTTGGCCTGATGAAGCGTTTGTGTGTCAAAAGCGAAACGTTGCTCAAATAAAAACTACCGATTGTTTACCAAGCTTTTCTGTCCTGTTCAAGTTGCTAGTTAATCACAAAACAGATCAACCGGTCGTAGCTGAAAGGTCAAACTACCAGCTGAGAGGTCGTGGGTTCGAACCATTCCGGGCATTCATAAGATGCGCAATGATGAGTTTCCCAACAATGACGAAACAGCTGTACAGCAAGTACTTCTCGGCTTTCCAACAATACAATAAGCAAAATAGACTGGCAGATGAGATTTGAACACCTGACTATGGCATAACGCTTATCAGATCGTCTTATCATGAATGAGTCTCGAAATCAATGCTATTTCACGTGTTTTTACGACAATCGACTGCCCCTCAAGCATGCCCGGCTGTCAGTTAAGGTGTACTTTGATTCACAAATCCTGATCGAATTGTCTTACGCCTGCTTGTCTGAACTTTGAAGCGAAATGCTGCAGACTTGACAGCCCCAATCAACCGGCTTCTAAAAAAAAACAACACGATCTATTCGTAACCATGGTTGTCGAAGCCTTTGGCTCCCAGCTTGTCAACAGTCGATCACTAAAACACGCCATACTTTTTGCTATCTAGGCGGTATGGGGTCCATTACTTGTAGCCTACCGATCAACGATCGTACTTGTTTCTACCTGTAATTTAGCGCCACAAACTGACTGCTAGAACGAATATATCAACAGCGAACTAGCGTGGTTCGATGCACCCACATGTGCCAAAGTCACTTTGCTTCGCGCGCCTCCCTTCAAAAGAGGCACGGTACTTTGGGTGCATCTGACTGCGACGTTCAAGGGAACTTGAAACTGGCAGGCCATCTGTTCGATCAGTGAGTGAATCCGGGCCAACTTATACATGACGGCATGAACTTTTTATTGCATAAGTAGTGCACACAGAAGAGACTATCCGCTCGGATCCTGAGCAGTGAAATGTGTTCAGCAACTTGAGCACCCATTTCCCAAGATTAAGCAGACTGATGAACTTGCTTGAATGGTGCTGGAGTTGCAAGCAATACATTCCGTCCAAAAAACGGCACTTTTGTCCTTGAATTCGATTTGATCGACGGCATGCTATAGTTCAGAGTTGAGCCTTCAATGTGGGAATGTGCGCTGCCAGCAAAAGTAAACACACGAATTTAGTCTTGAGAAGAGACGCAACTGAACTCATCCGTGTTTCTTGTTCTTGAATGTGCTGCAACAGTTTGCCTCATGATTCGCTTTCTACTTTGTTCGAGATATCGCAATAGATTGTTGTCTAGACCTAACACGCTACTCATAAAGTTGCTGAAGAAGAGTTTTCAGCGACCTTGTGAGTAGTGTGCAATATCTCATCCCAAGGGGGGTGTTTATCCGGTATTCTCGCAACTTTGAAGTGGCTGACTACTTAGCCAATCACGTTCCTGTTACAGTGTCAGAAATGCCACTTTGCTCTAGCCTAGACAGGAGCAGCCGAGATGTCAGGGCGGGGTTCGAACCAGGGACTTGCTTCCCAAGCACTGAGTTATCTCACGCTCAGACTAAGGATAAGACATGGAAGAGTTCCAAGTAACCTCGATGAAAAGACCTCTAAAGTGGACAAGCTTTCCGAACTCCTATCAAACTCCATGACTTGAATCTGAACGAGTACTGGTAAATGCTTTTTTTGTACTCACCTTCCCTGACGCTGTGCACCGACACAGGTTTGAACCCACAAACCCTGATCCCGTAGCCGGTCGCATCGCGTTCAAATGCTACCTGGAGATAGGCCACACTGGTTGGTACCGCCACGCCAGTTTCACTTGAATCCACTGACTGAGGCCAAAACAGCGAGTGGTTGGTCGGTATGGAAGACATTAGTACATTTTCCGTATCGTCCTCAATCAAAGAAGTTGTGGGCGAATTGTTGGGTGGTGAGGAGTTGGCGGTGCTGTAACTACTGTTTGTACTATTATCGGGTTCCGAGGCGAACACGGAATCGGGAAGCGAGCCACCAAAGGGTTTGATCGTATCACCATAGACTGGACGTTTGACGATTCGGGCTTTTGTCGACGGTTCTTCCAGTGAAACGTGCTTGTCAAATGATGGCTCGGTGGTTTGTGGCTGTCGAATGGTTTCTTGTGTGCCTTCTGGCGACCTCAGTGCGTGGATATTATTCGATTTCTCTCTAAAATTCGAAGGAAAAGGGCTTTGAAATAAACTAGCATTTCTATGTGGTTTATCACTGGTAGGATATAATTGCCCCAAAGTAGGATACATTAGGTTTGAAGGTATTCAGTTACGGAAGTCATACTTTGTTTTCACTCAGTGTAGGACAAACATGAACAAGAGTTCCTCACAGCCTTTACAACTAAGGGGGTATCATCTATAGGTTGCTTGATTTTGCCAAAAACAATGGCTGTTGGAGGAAAGGAGGGGTGGACATTAAACCGCAAACGCAGAGCACATGAAAGCATCAGAGCCTGATAATTTTGACCGCCGTCTGCTTAGATTGAAGAGGGGTGAGTAACTCAAAAGAACGGTCAGATGGACTGCCACGAGCATCTAGGTCATTCGGAACTTTAAACTTTAATGTTTATAACTGAAAAATCTTATACAGCTTTTATTCAGTTTCGAACAAAATACTGTGCGTTCTAGATGTCGACCTACGGTCTCCGAATGACTAACTTGAATCAACCTCAGGGATGACATTAAGCCCAGAGGAACCGTCAGCTCAGGGATTCACTGGATCCTTTGTTGAGTGTGTGTGTCGTCCCCTTGTAGGGGAAGCAAACTCCCAGACATAATTTAAATGACACATGGAAGCCACATGTTCAGTGGACGGTTTTATCCAATCATCAAAATCGTATCGACCCTGGACTATTCAAAACGTTTCACCACATACGTGGATCGACAGACTACTAAGTACTGTGTCTACCTAAGGGCGCTGATAAATTGGTGCATAAATCCAGCAATGCCAGTGGGCTGTCAAGTGGGAGTTGGAAAAGGAGCTATGCATTGAAGGCAATAGCTTGGATGCACGGGCGCCATTGAGGGCTCGACTGGGCCATGTCTGACAATGTCTCTAGCCATTGATGTGGCCCGTCTCGGGGTCCCCATCCAGGAAGACGGCAGTGACCAGCGCAGCTGAGTTTGCTGGTAATGGCTTTCATACTTCGCTGCCAAGTCATTGTTTGACCGCCTCTGGCTATCTTCCACCCTTCATGTGGTTGTGTCTACCTAAGGCGTCACAAACATATTGATTTATCCAATTGATTTAGCTATTGATTTATCCTACTTTGAAATAGAATTTGTTTCCGGGATGCGTTGACTAGCAAACTACTTCGCAATCAGTTCAAGTAAACCATTGATCATTGAGCCTCGAATCCCAGAATCTAGTTCAAAACACATTGGAAATTTACGATTGATTGGGCGAAGTAGGTACATCTCTGTCTTTATAATGTACTACTCATAAGGTTGCTGAAAATCCATTAACAGCCCACGACCGGTTTCGCTCTTCTTCGGGCTCATCAGGTAGGCGCAGTCCCCGAGTTTCCGTCAANTCAACCTTATGTTCTACTTGAAACCAAATTGCACGAAATTAGCGAATATACACTCATCTGCAAACTAATTTGGTTCTTTCGAGAGACTCACTTGGAACCCATCTGAATCTCTCGTTTATGATGTTCTCAGGCGACTGAATGTGCTGCAACAGGCCACCTCATGTTTCAGTCATCTCTGCCTGTTTTTAAAACTTCCAATCAGTAAAAAGAGGAAAAATGATCACCAGTCTTTTCTCGTTAGTGTGATAAAAATGTGGGAATTCCCAGTGACGTCCACGACCTTTAGGTGAGGCCAGTCCATGGGGAAAACCCGCGGTAGCTGACTAACCCTTATGGAGACTCATCAGCTGTGTCCATTCCGCAAAACTTCAGGGTTTGGAACCCACAACACTTTACCGTTCGGTTACGAGCGCAGTGTGACGAACTCGCCACCCAGTCACCCACATAGTGAACTGTTCAGCTTATGGTCGCTCACCGGATCACGAGACCTGTCATTTTTCATACTCACAAGCCACGTCAAGGTGACTCATCGGACATTGATTGTCTGTACCGTCCAGTGAGCGTAGCAACAACTCATGGGCTAACATACCCACGTACACGCAAACGGACCTACACATAGGGAAACCGAACACAGTCAGCAAACACAGACTCGCGCGCGCGCAGGGAGCAGGATGTCAACCACTCTCCACAAGTCCACGGACAATTATGGAACACGTATAGCAGTCGCACTGCGGAGAAAACACGTTCCCGCCGTCCGGACTTCCACCAAGGGACTCTCATATGCGATAAGTTCCCTTTTTGACTTGCTCCCATTTCGCATTGTATTTATTTTCATACGTGTGGCATCTCACCATTGTCAACTAAACTTATTAGTGCATATGCCTTCTGAATTGTATTATGGCCATCATCAACAGTGTACTAATAGATGTAGCGTCCTTCATTCCGCATCGCCCGGTCACGTATTGGCTGGTTCCTTGAGTGGCGACTGCTCAGATTGAAGTTTCACCAATCAGGTAAATTTTACGATTTTACTCATCCCCTTATCTACTTATATCAGTAATGTGAGAAGATCTGGGGATTTTTGTCCTGTAAGTAGTCACTCTATGATGAATAACGGAGAAGCACTGTACAGCTGTTCCATCCTCACTGGGGGTCATCGAGAGTACGCGTTTCACCCAAAGCTAGGACAGCTTCCCGTCCAATTTTTAAACGCCTAACCTTTCGGTTGTGAGCAGCCGATCACTTGCACTGGACTTTTGAACGACCCTCCTTGACCTCAACTTGGCCACATTGAACTAGGAAGTGTATAGAGGTCACTTTTACTCAACTAGGAATTGACCTGAAGCAAAGATACCACAGACGTTGCAAAAAAACTTCGCCCATCATCCCATCTTTTTTGAGCTTTTCTTCAGCTTGGAAATTGCTTCTTAGTATCTGATCAGCTAATTTCTTCGCTAATGTATTAATCCAAAACTGAGTGAGATGGGCATTAGTTTGTTTCCGACTCCAGGTGAAGCGACCTACGTCACTGAGTATGCTATCCTTGACTCATCTTCAGCGCCATCTTGCGCCCGTCCGAGCCACAGTGAAGGCATATATATCAGGCTCTCTTTTTTTCCAGAACGTAACACCCTAGCGCTTCATAAGCACGCAAAGAATGATCTCAACAGGGCTGCAGCCGTTTCTATGGTACGATGTAGTCCTAAAATTGGCGATATTCACCTGTTTTGTTTGGTGGAACCTTCGAAGCATTTCAGGAGTTTCTGTCCTCATGGGCACGTTGCAGAAAATTCGAAATTGTTAAGGCCTTGGTTGGATAAAACTCCCGGGTGGTGTTCTCAAAACACTATCCGTAACTGTTGAAAAGCGTGACTTATCTGCAACTAAACAGGTTTCTGTATATTACACTATCCGTATCTGTTGAAAAGCGTGACTTATCTGCAACTAAAGGAGTCGCAAAATCCAGCGCTATGCTTTTGAAAACGATTCATACGAGCTCTGCGTCTGCTTTGATCATGTGACATGAATCGATCGATCCAGTCGCTCGAGGCCGTCTAGACCCGCAGTTAGACACGATTTGAATTGTGCTGATAATCAATCACTTGTGTTTCGGCATTTTCCAACTTACTAACGAATTTGAGCTGTTTATTTCGTTATTTATCCATTAGATTAATGACCACTAAGGACCTAACAAGGAGTTCCGGAAAACATTGCTGATTGTTGAAACTAGGGCAGTATGCAGGCAACTTTGACTGCGGCTACAGGTAAACTGACATATGCAATGACTTGTTGGCAAAGGTGAGTGTGCTGTGCGCCAAACACCCTTTTCTTGTGTATGCTATCATCCGCTGGGCAGCTGGTAACAGTGGCTCGAACAGTAAAGTTACGAAAATTTATTGTTGGCTAGCTCGACATGCGTGCCGCGTTCCTCTCCAGTCAACCATATGCCTACAACATCTGTCTGCGACGCCGAACGTCGCTCAGATTAGCTAGACAGCCGCAGCATTCATTTCATTTTTGTGGCAAAACTGTCTCAACGGGTAACAAGCACTTTGACAAGATGTTTGACGTGATTTTACGACATTCTGAACAAAAAACATCAGCATAAAGCCAATTGGATCGATTGATTCGGTTTTTTCCAAATTTTTTCAGTGAGTTTTGATTGGTCAGAATTAGCGAGAGAAAAACGTCCTGCGTGCCCACCCCTTTCAGAATGGTGAAAACTGCAGAAGGGGGTGCAGGAGCCCCCCGTGACCTTCAGCCACACTTGACTTTCCAAGGAATGATCAATGCCAGTGGCATTCGTGCTATCACTTTCGTTCCGGATTGTCTGGAGATGTAGGCACCTCAAAACGATCGGGATAACCCAGCACCATGTTTATCCCTCATCCACCCTATTCTCTTCTTTTGCCCGTTTATACTTAAAAACATCATAAACGAGAGAATCAGCTGGGCTCCCATCAAAACCAACCAGACACTATTTAAATTATTAGCCTTTTTGGGTTGCACGACTCTGAAACGTCAGTGCCAACACCATGTCTATTGTGTGATGACCGGTGATGACCGTACCCACGAGAACGTTTGGATAAAAGCATTTTCAGTAATTGGTGTTCAATAGGTCGGAGAATTTTCGTGAAATTCGTTACCGAAATGGAAAAAGTGCGGCAATTTAATGCAGTAGGATCACGTGAAAGTAGAGTACCACTCTCAACCCTTTATCCAACGTCACTGGATTTTGGTCATCAACCTACCAGACAATGAGTGCTAAGGCCCACTAGTTAAAAACAATGGACTGACTGAAATTGCATATAAGTAATATTTCATAAGTGCCGAAGCACTATTTGAACGTGAAAAGATAGGGGACATCTGAGCAGTCAGAAGCTTCCTGGTGGCTGGTGATGACACATTTTTCACGGGTTGATAGCTATGACTCATCAAGTTCCCTCCGTTTCAGTACTCATTTCGGGCATACAAAGGGAATGTGAGTCACCACGTGAGAAATTGGTGCGAATTACTTAACTAAAGGATAAGTGACGCCATATCCCTTCTAAGTGCGAGTTGATTGTACTACTGTTATCAAGATGGTCAGCTTACTGAAAGTAACCCCAGAACACCCGGAACCTAC